GTGAGGTTCATTAAAAAATGTATACGTGAACATACGAATAGTTGTCGAACAAGAACATTTTTGCTGCTTCAGCTACTCAATATTTGCACAGGATAAATAAATATTATGAATATTTAGCAGAGAGGCTGATTAAGTCTTTTCCAAATGCAAACCGCGAAAGACGGCTATAACAAGAATTTGAGTCATATCAAAATATCCATTAGCACAAAATATAATCACAAACCGCTCGAAAGTAAAGATACGCATGTGTGAAAACAGATATCTTCTTATTGGCTACTGCTATTGTTCATTTTCTTTTCTACTCTGTCATGTTCTAGACTATCGAATCGAGTATTACCACTGTGTGAAAAAAGACGCTCTACAGATGTATTTGTTGGTGGAATAATAGGAATATCCCGAGCAATTGAAACAATTGTTGTATATATATATATATATATATACCATAGAGAACTAGCAAATCCGGAGAGATCTCTTTTCACATAAGATATCGCGTGCGGGGACATTTTTTCATCTCAGTGCGAAACGAAACAAAACAAAGGTAGGCATGTGTGAAAACATATCTTCTTATTCGCTACTGCTATTGTTCATTTTCCTTTCTACTCTGTCATGTTCTAGACTATCTAATCGAGTATCACCGTCTTCAGTGAAATGACATTATAGGCTAGGTTGTTTCAGTGGCATCTATAGCTGATTTCGGAAATAAGTCAGTGTTATCTATTTTCTGAATTTTGGATACTTCTTGTGAATTTCTTACGAGCCTTCTTAAGATCCTTGTAAGACGCTAACAACGTGTTTTTTCACACAGTGGTAATACAATAACTAATAAACGAACATCATTAAGTACGTCAAAATTAAATAGATTAATGTTTTTGAAAAAGAATCTGATTTTCTTAAAAGAGTTATGTAATAGTACAGCAGACACACCTGGAAAAAAAAAAATTAAAAGATAGATACATGCATATCTTTGTTTTTTGGTTTTGCACTGAGATGAAGAAATGTCCTCACGGGCGAGACCTTATGCGAAAAGAGATATCTCCTGATTTGCTAGTTTTCTACGGTGTATAACCACGAAGTTTTATAAAATAATACTAGTACACGGTACTCCTGTTATTCGCCTATTTTTCCAGAAGTAAATATGTGAATTATGTCAATTGTAAATACTCTACTTGCATACACTGCTCTATTGATCTTGCATGTCCGGACATAATGTCCCGAAGAACACGAAAAGATTATAAAGCTCGTAGTTAAGCTAGTGTTAAGTATTTATTAATAAAAGAAAAGTACAAAGTGTAAGCTCACAATTAAGATTTATTCACAATTCATTTCACAATTAAAATTTATTTGGATTGTATTATTGTTTGTATGTTTGTTCTTCCAAATTAAAGTTTCGTATTGCAAAAGTCTGTACACAACGCACTAGTAAGTTGAGGACCATGTGCAATTAACTTACATGCTTCACGTAAAACTGCTTTTAATTTCGGACAAAATCCGCCCATATCTTTAGCACCATCTTGACAAACACTTAAACAATCGTCCTTCAGTGTCGTCGCATCAATAGTAGTAACGATAAATACAGCGATAGCAACAGCTACAATAATAACAGAAATTTTACCCATTTTAGTATAATAATAAAACTTTTGCTTTTCGATTTCTAAATTTGAATAGACTTTATGCAAAGAAGACGTATATATATATATATATATACCGTAGAGAACTAGCAAATCCGGAGAGATCTCTTTTCACATAAGATATCGCGTGCGGGGACATTTTTTCATCTCAGTGCGAAACGAAACAAAACAAAGGTAGGCATGTGTGAAAACATATCTTCTTATTGGCTACTGCTATTGTTCATTTTCTTTTTCTACTCTGTCATGTTCTAGACTATCTAATCGAGTATAACCGTCTTTTGTGAAATGACATTCTTGCCTAGCTTTTTTTGTTCATAGGTCAGTAGTGTCTCTTTATCTGTCTTTTAATTTTGTTTTTTCATACGCCAATGTACTAGGTTCGTCTAAATTTAAAGTGTGACTGTTTTCAGTGGCATGTACAGCTAATGTCGAAAACAAGTCAGTGTTATCTATTTTCTGTTCATATTGATTCATTGTAACGTCTACTTCACTGCGTGTTTGTCCGACGTAAATGTTGGCACAGGCTTTGTGTGCTATCAAATATACAACTCCAACTGTTCCAAAAGTCAATCCACAAGACTCTCCTATGACGTTAGGATCAGACTAGCCTTTTCGAGTGCGTGGAATTGTTGGCTCAGATTCCAAATATTCAAAAGTTATTCAAAGGCACCATACAGAAATATTTAATATATTATGACCGATCAAAACCGATTTCTCGCTTATAAAACGTCTAAAAAGAGTTTGTTACAGATAGCAAACATTCGCCGCATTTCGACACTAAAGTTCAAGTCCAATGTACAAATCCGTGGACAACGACCTTACTGCCATTGTCAGATACTACTCGTACTCTTAACTGGTCGTTTTGTCATCATCTTGCTGGTGGATCAAAAGTATATGGTTACTGAATATTCTATAGACAGCTCATAGTCGTTTGAGAAAATGACAAGCGACAAGCTGTGGTACATACTAAATAATGTTGCCAACGGTATCTGATGTTTGGTTTTTTCATTGTGTACTTATAGTTCTTACATCATATTTTGGTATATTGTTTATTTGAGCCATTTACTATTTAAACATCTCTTTACCATTGGCAAAAGCACTGCACAGGAATAGAATCATTTCTGGGTAGATATTATACGCAATGTTAAAAATATTGAAACTCAATGAATCCTTATTTGTGAGCTCACATTTTCTACGTTCCTTTTAGTAATAAATACATAAATACTGCTTTGTAATCTTTTCGTATTTCTCGGGACATTATGTCCGGACATCCAAAATCAATAGAGCACTGTATCTATGTAGGGCATGTACAATTGACATAATTCAGATATTTACTTCTGGCAAAATACCGTGTGCTACTATTATTAATCTCTTTTCACATAAGATGTGGTGACCTATGAACAAAAAAGCTAGGCTAGAATGACATTTCACTAAAGAGGGTGATACTCGATTAGATAGTCTACAAAAAATACTAGCCAATACGGAGATATCTCTTTTCGCACATGCATATCTTTGTTTTCTTTTGTTCTTTTCGTTTGAAATTATCTATACATGTCTTTTTAGGCGTTTTATAAGGGAGAAATCGGTCTTGATCGGTCATAGTATATTAAATATTTCTGCACGGTGCCTTTGAATAACTTTTGAATATTTGGAATCTGAGCCAACAATTCCACGCACTCGAAAAGGCTAGTCTGATCCTAACGTCATGGTAGAGTCTTGTGGATTCACTTCTGGAACAGTTGGAGTTGTACATTTGTACATGCCACCGAAAACAGTCACATCTTAAATTTAGACGAACCTTGTATATTGGCGTATGAAAAAGATTTAGTCAGCGTCTCTGCTAAATATTCATAATATTTATTTATCCTGTGCAAATATTGAGTAGCTGAAGCAACAAAAATGTTCCTGTTCAACTATTCGTATATTCACGTATACATTTTTTAATCAAACTCACACTATCGTTTGATCATAAGGTTTTCTTATTCGTACAACGTACCTAAATCAATTTCTTTCCTATTCGAATAGTCGTTTCTTAGTCTTTGCTTAATAGCGCTAACAGTATACAGACAGAAACCCAACAAAAGATCCCACAGGTAAATAATGGTTATTCATCTAGCATGTGTGATTGAAAGATCTCATTTTTTAATTCTCTTAATTCTCCCTGTGATCGATTTTTCAGTTAATAACATAATTCAAAGTTCTGAGACAAAATAAGTACAGAATTTAGATGTTGTATGGATCGTAATAAGATAATTGCATTCAGTTCATTCGTCTAGCGAACTACTATCCGTTACAGAACAAGATGTATATAAACCATTTCGGAATAACTTCTATAGACAAAAAGATAAAGATGACAAGTCGGTGAAACAAATGAACCCGAACTTCGACATCTCGTATGAAAGTAGTGTACAGCACCGTCGTTAGAAAATGAAATAACCAGCTTATAATTTTTCTATATTGATCCATACTTTTGAAATTGACCAGATATAGATGGAAATCTATATGCGTAGTTCTAGTGGATATCGACTACTACCACCATACACTAATTTTTCTACAAACTCCTAGAAATCATTACCAGTCTTACTAGAGCTGATGAAGTTAGTGTTAATGTGAACGCTGTGTATTCATAGCGCTAAGAGGTAACGGATTTTAACAGTATGGCTAGTAGTGAAAGGAAATTATGTAGTTAGTGATGCTTCAGTATACAGAAACAAATGGAAACTTTAAGTTTATATACTCACTCTATTTTTCGTGACAAACAAATATTTATTAACAAACTTTCTTATACTTATTCAGTGAACCGAGACAAACCTTGCATTTATCCAAGTTCAGCATGAAACGAAGTTGCATTTGATTATGATTGAATCCCAATCTCGTATTTCACATATGTTCAGCTAGTTTCTAAATTATATATCAGTAAGTTGTGCTTTGGAGTTTGACAGCACTGATGCACTGACCCGATAATGCGATTAGTAAAGATCATCTCACTTGAAGTAATAGTACACGCTATAAAGGATACATGCAGGAAAAAAAAGAACTTCATTATTTCTCTCCTGTCTTTCAGATCAAAATGAGTGCCGTTATTGTATTGATAAAACGTATCTTTGATGAACTGAGAATTGAGTCTGAGAAGTTAGAGTTAAATGTATAGTAGACATTGTGAAAGTGAAATATAAGTCCTGATATTTTTCTAACAAATTTTATGCTTTGTTTTATTCATCACTTTTGAAACTGTTAACCTGATTTATTTCTATTCTTTTTGTGCCGAAAGTCTGATGTGATTTGAGAAAATGACAAGCTGTAGCACGTACTAAATAACGTTGCCAACAGTACCTGATGTTTGATTTTTTCATTGTGTACTTATAGTTCTTACATCATATTTTGGTATATTGTTTATTTGAGCCATTTACTATTTAAACATCTCTTTACCATTGGCAAAAGCACTGCGTAGGAACAGAATCATTTTTGGGTAGATATTATATTCAATGTTAAAAATATTGAAAGCAACAGAATATTATCTACAAAAACAGCATTTTCGCTACTAGTCACTGATGTCAGCCCAATTTTTTCTCTTTGTAGCCGACATTACATGCTATTTCCTTACGATTAGTCAAAAAATTCCAAATGCACTCTGAGGGCTCCTATTAAAAATTTTCAAGTAATTTCTACATCAGAAGTCTGTTTCCTTTATATTGTGAGAAACAAACTTAAAATGAGAGAGTTGAGGATTCTCTATCACCCTTTGCTTCAGTCACGAGCAGTCAGTGGATGGAAATTTCAAAAGAAAGCCTTTGTTTTATCATTTTCTTCCACGATAACCGAGCAGTCACTTTCTGTAACGCTGAATATTTAGCAGAGAGGCTGATTAAGTCTTTTCCAAATGCAAACCGCGAAAGACGGCTATAACAAGAATTTGAGTCATATAAAAAAATCCATTAGGACAAAATATAATCACAAACCGCTCGAAAGTAAAGATATGCATGTGCGAAAACAGATATCTCCTTATTGCTCTATTGTTCATTTTCTTTTCTACTCTGTTATTTTCTAGACTATCTAATCAAGTACCACCGTCTTTGCAGTTGAACATTCTTCCTTCGATCCAACCGAAGCATCAATAGTAGTAACGATAAATACGGCGATAGCAATATCTGCAATAATAACAGAAATTTTACCCATTTTAGTATAATAATAAAACTTTCGATTTTTGATTTCAAATATTGAATAGACTTTATACAAATAAGACGTATGTATATATATATATACATATACCGTAGAGAACTAGCAAACCAGGAGATATCTATAACTCTGTTTTGCTTATTTTTATAAACTTCACCTTTATATTATGATTCCATATTTTGTTTAGTGCTATTTTTATCGCTTCTTCAACTGGTATACTCGGATTGAGTGATTATAGGTCAAAACTAGCAAACATATCACAAACGGTAACACGGCGCATTACAAGTAGAGATGATAGGTCTTAACGGATCATTCGATTTGTGTATCTTCACCGTACAATACAAATATGGTATCCACTTATGAAACGACTATCATAAGTTTTCTGATCAGTTTTTTATGTTTCATTGGTTGCTTTAATCTATTATTAATTTTATTCTCTTAATCTACTATCTCATCTTAACTACTACTGAATTTAGCGTAATCGTTTAACATGTTTATCACTTTCTGCTAATAGTCATTTTTGTTCATGATCACGATTGCATTCCCTTTGTCAGCTTTCAATAAGACTATCTGTTTATCATGTCTTAACCTTCTCATCGCATCTATCTCTTCATTTGATAAGTTTGCTTCTCGTTTATGCCCTAGTATTGCATTCTATACAATAGACGACTCCAACTTTTCCAGAAGTGAATCCACAAGACGCTACCATGACGTTCGGATCAGACTGGCTTTTTAAAGTACGTGGAATTGTTGGCTCAGATTCCAAATATTCAAAAGTTATTCAAAGGCACCATGCAGAAATATTTAATATAACTTGACCAAACCCAAAGTTAGGCCAAAAAGATTCAATACGTTTTCTCTCTATCAGTTTACCTTATGACAAAATATGTATCAAGAACGATTTCTACTAACTGATCGTTTTCCTCTCATGCTCCTGGTGGAGCAAAAGTATATGGTTACTGAATATTCTATAGACAGCTCATAGTCATTGTGGAACGCTGATAAAGAATAGGATTCATCATTCTAAAATTCAAAAATTTGCACAGGATACACCCTGAATATTTAGCAGAGAGGCTGATTAAATCTTTTCGAAATGCAAACCGCGAAAGACGACTATAACAAGAATTTGAGTCATATCAAAATATCCATTAGGACAAAATATACTGATAAACCGCTCGAAAGTAAAGGTAGAGGCCGTTACAACGAAAAGTAGCTTGTAGAAACGATGAGTCATCGGTCTTTCGCTGCCGACTATACGACTTTCGCATATAATATTTTACAAAAAATAATTCACCACTTTTTCAAAAAGAGTTTTTATTTAAACTAGAGGAAGTTTATAATATTTGAAATCAGTATTTCATACTCTTTTTATATCCCTATTTCACAACTTTCGTCTAGGGTAGTAAATCAGAAAAAAAAACTCTTAGAGTTTTTAAAAACTTTCGAAAACAGTTCTTTTTCGTGATTTGGTGCAATGTTGCAATGCAATTTTAGAATGCTCTAAGTTTTGTTAGAAATAACTATGGAATTTTTTTAACAAATACGTTTTGAAGAATAAACAGATTTCTGCAAAATGGTATATTTCGCAGCTCTGAGCGAATCTTGATAATCGATATATAGCAATGCTCCCAGATGGTCTAACACCAGTTTTTAACTGGTGCATACCTAATCTGGTACAGTCAAAAACTACATGCTCTTATTTTAGTGAATGTGGGTTAATACAAAAGCAAAGACGAAATTTGTGAAATAAAAAGAATATTAAAAGACTTATTTCAAATATTATAAATAAAAATTCTTTTTAAAAACTGTTGAATTATGTTTGCAAAATATTGTATGAGTTATATCAGTTGCTTTTTTTTTGATAGTGTGGGGCAAATTTGAAATCAGCTGTTTGCTGATATTTGATAGGTATTGGCTAAGTTTATACATAAATGAGAATATATAGACGGTTGTTTGGAAGTGCATAAGTATGTTTACAAAATGCAGTGAAGAAAAGAAACGACTACATAACCAATCTGGTTGCAAGCTTAAAGTGCTCTCTCGAATCCTATGCAAAAGAGAGAGACACACATGCGCGTACACACGTTATAGTAGTTAAGAAAACAAGTTATATTAGTCAGCTCATCCATCAGTTCGTTATTTGTTACCTTAATGTGGAAGTGTTGATACACTCAATTAGAAGAAAGAGCAAATTTACAAAAAGAAAGTGGGTGTTAGGCAATCTTTTCATTTTATCTATTGATTAACTCATATGTTTTCTTATATTTTTTCTGGGTGTTAGAAAACTCTTAGATTATTATCCTTCTCAGACCAACTGGATATATCTATAATGTTCTTATATTTTGATTTAAGCGTTCCTCTTCCAGAATACAAGCGAAGATAAATCATTATACCATTCTAAAACTCAAATTTTCGAAATAAAACACAATCAGTTTTCAAATGTTTAAATTAGAAATAACGAAATGCGATCAAGTTCTATTTGTTTTGATTTCTTGTTTTTAGATTTAAAGACGTGGAAAATAGTATCGGTACTAATCTGAATAAAAATAAACATCGAAACGATTGTCTTTTGTATTTATGGAATATATTTCTCTTTTCTGTTTTGTATATTAATTTGGTCATTTAATTCTATTTTTTGTTCTCTCTAATTTATTTATCTTTAGTCTTTCGATTACGTACAAATAATCAATATGTATTACAATGTCTCTAGTTATTAGATGCTGGAATGAACCTCATACTCTATGGCCGAAACAACAAATACAATTACTAGAAGATCATTACGTTTATTAACGTAAGTTTCTTACATTTGATGAAAATAGACTGTAAATGATTTTAATTAATACGTTTTCTTTTTTCTGTAGTGCCGAAAAAAATAATAGTCAAACGGCAAGTGACGTAACTATATCAAAATCTGAAGGTAATTATAAGCTGATATTCACGCATATTCTTTTTGATACTTGCAACTTAAGCTTTTATTTCGAATTTAAAATACTGACTAGCGGCAGTTACCAACAGCATACGATTTTGTTTTTATAAAATCTTTCGTAGATTTCGAATAGAAATTCTTTAGGATGCTTGCCACTGGATTTTTTTGCTTAGTTTCTACTATTTGTAAACAAACTGCTATTTTTCCTTTCATTCACAGGTAATACTCAACAATACTCATCATTATCATCCCTATTGGTAGCAGCGGCTCGTTCGGCAAAAAAACGTGCGATCGAAGCTATTTCTGAACAAAGTATTCAACGTCGACGTCAGCGTTCGCAAACAGTTCAATCCAGTTTGTCAGTTCCATCCGAATCAATAATATCACAGTCAACAAATCGTAAACGTATCCATTCAAAACAAACATCACCATCACAGCTTCGACGTTCTTCATCATCCTCTTCATCATCTTCTTCATCCTCACGTTTATTGAAACAACACAAGCAACAACGTAAGCAAAGTAAAAAAAACACAAAACAAGAAGAACGAAAAGCTAACACAAAATCGAACCAAAATATAAAACGTCGCCGTTCATCTTCGACTTCATCAGCCTCTGATTATTTTCCACCACCATCGACAACAACAAGTAATCGACGTTCAACAAAAAAGCAATCTTATACTAGTCAAACTCGTTCAAAAACAAGTGCGCCTATACTAACCAGTAAACGAACACAAGAACAACGATCGAGTTTGTCAAGTGATACGGAACAAACAGAAACGGGGAATAATTGTATTCATTCTCGATCAGGTATGTTTCATATACATTATATCATGAACCTAATACTTTTCTCATTTTTGTTCATCGTTACCAGGGCGAGAAATAACAACAATTGTTAGTGATCCACTGGTTCCAACTTATCGAAGACGAGGAAATCGATTTTCAACTGCAAAATCCCTTCTTGATACAACATCAACGCATCAAACGTTAAGGTATAGTTTTTATGCTTAAAAATTGTCTATTTTTAAAACATCATCTTTATTTTGACTTTTGTAAGTATAAATTTTGCAGAAAAATTTATGGTGCATACATAAAGAAAGGCAGAGTCAGCAGTCAATGAAATATGAGAGAAAAATAATAGCAATCTATATGGCTTTACCCTATTATAACCTCATGTTTTTCTCTTGTCTTGCATACACCAAGTTTTTCCACATTTTTGTCACTCTTACAGCTGCTATAGTAACCATAGATACTTTAGTAACGCTTATTATTATTTCATTGAATCTCAATAATTCTTTCATGTGTTTGAAAACGCAAACTTTTGCTACAGAATTATTTGAATAGTGGTGAACCGTTTTTTTTGTCTAAAAATATTATGAGTACAGTATCTTACCTGTGACGCAATGATTTACTTTGCTTATTTGTGCAACAAATACTAAGACTTTTGTATCATGGTATTTACTTTCTATAATTGTTAGAAATCATGAATCTTTCATCTCTTTAATGTGAATTACTCTATTATAAGTCGAAATCACATCAATCATTAATGAAATCCAGTGATTATAATGCCTTTTGTCGGATGCCTTCTACACTTGTAGAACTGGTCTTCTTGAAAATAACTTTTTTTACCTATATGTTTAAACCTCTCTTCCTGTTTTCCACAATAAATGATAATGTTGTAAAAACGTCTAATGACAATTATATTAGAAGTATATTCTAATGGATAAAATCTGCGAAATTTTTAGATTTTTTGTGTTAATTATTAAACTGTTTTAAAAGGTATTAATTATCAGTTGAACTGAATCTCTTTTATTAGAATATACAACTAGTAAATACGTAGAAAACGCGACAAGCAGCGTAAAAATTTCCATCAACGATTATTCTAAGACGATCGTTGCTTCGTTGAATTAACCTTATTCAGGCGTAAAACAAACCCGATGACGTTTTATGAAAAAGAATCATATAGAGTCGACAATTTCTTTTATGTATTATTTATTCCGATTGTTACATAAGCTGAAAAACATATTTTATACACAACGATAAATAAAGTCTACATATACTTCCAATGATTAATTGAGATAACTCTCATGACAGTCAAACATGCAAGTCATCGGTATTTTTTCTCTGTTGTTGATGTTAGCAATGGAATATATGAGAAAAAACCGTTTTGCTTTCTTTCTTTCGTCTCCCTCTACTTTTACCTACAAAAAAAGAAAAAAATGATCGATCATGAATAATACGCTGTAAACATCATATGTTTTACATTATTAGCGTAAACGTTTCGTTGTGGTAAATGAATATCAAAAATCATTTTGTTGGTAAATGTTGTGAACAAACGTATCTTGCATGTATTGAAGATTACCAGAGAATTTGAAATATTTAATGTTTAGTTAGAGAAGATATGAATGTAAGTGCACGTATAAAATTTAGTTTAGACAAAAAAACCTCTGATAAAAGGATATTCGCAAGAGAAACTTGGATATGACACATTTTATATCTGATTTCGCTTTAGCAGTTTCATGATTCTTGAAAATTTTATATGTTTAAGTCGTTCGACTACAATTGTTTTTTTAATATTTTATTCATTTAACAAATCAAACAATTGAGTGCTTAAAGAACAAAATTGCTGCCCATTGTATCTTTTATGACAGTCTATAAATGTGTTTTTTAAATTTCTATTGGTCATAATGATCTTTACGCACTAAAGACTGACTTTATAATGATTATTAGCTTATAATGAGTTTTGTTCATGCTAGGTATCTAAAACCTTATCAATTTCTGTCATCTTACAAATTAGAGATTTGATCATACATTTTTCTCATCTATTTTTAAGTTATGAAAGACACATATATGTCGATAAAAATAAAGCTTAATGTTTTTTTTTTCTGCTTTTTGCTTTCTCACTTTTTCAATGAAATCAAATCAAGTCTTTATTTGACACGTGGCAAGTGAGAAACTCGTGTATGAAGGAAAAAGAAAAATGTTCCATGTGTTTCCAACAGCCTCTATTATTATTTTTTCTTTTATTATATAAGAAGGCGACTACAGAGAAAAATAAACATATCTGTTATTTTAAATTACACATACAGTTCTTGTACATGACCTTATTTCTATCAAAAAACCTCGAGAATAGAACAGAAAAATATTATTATTTTTGTCTTTCTCTCTCTCTCTCCTTCATGTAAAAGAAGCAAAATTATCATCATATGATAACAAATGAGACATGACTGTACCATAGTACAGATTATTGATTCTAGGAAAAACGACCCACTATCGTGTACATACACTGACGTGTATACAACATAGCATTAATAATCTCTGTACTATTTTTTGGATAAGTGAAAATAAGTTAACGGTTGATTGATAATGGATAACCTTGTATGCAAATAGTTAAGCTTAAATCAGCTGTGTGATATTTATCTTATTTTTTTCCTATTTTAGCCAGTCTCTGTCTGGTGGTCCACATTCTGGTCAAGAGGCGACGGCCGCCGGTTATTCTGCCGCATGTGCCTCATCAGATAATCATTTTTATTCCTCATCTTCCACAACATCTCCAACTGTTCGTTTATTTCATACAAGAGCACCATATTATCATCCATACGCTTCAACAAATACAACAAATTCGTCTACATCTGAATCTCCATCAACTTATACATACAGTGGTAGTACAACAAAAGCACCTATTGTAGTCGTTCCTAATACAGCATCATCTGTTGTAGTTGGTGCATCAACAACACTTCAACAGCACATGTCTGAAAGTGAAGGCGAAAGCGATTTAATGGATCGACATTCAATTGATCCAACATTAGCTCGTGTTGTCAGTGGTTCCCGTGGTGCCGATTTATTAGGCTCATTAAATCAGCGTTTAAATCAAATGATAACAAGGGTTAATGGAAGTTCATCGATGGGTAGATTACCACAATATATTCAACATCTGCAATCAAATGACAATGATTTAAAATTGGCGACATTAAATGATTTATGTCAGGTATGATCTTTAATTGGTTTTTGATTGTAAGTTAATAGATTAATTTTTGTATTTTAGCTGCTGGTTATGAGTAATGAAGAAACACTACCGCAATTTCCATATAAACAATTAGTACCTTTACTAATCCATTGTTTAAGCGATGAAAGTGAATTTAATATGGAGATAGCTCATCATGCTTGCCGAGCATTGTGTTATTTGATGGAAGCATTACCTAGAGCAACAGTATGCGTCGTTGATGGTACATCGGTTTTTTTAAATAAAGTGAGTTTGGTCTTTTTTCCGACTATATTGATCAAGAATATATATTAAAATTCTTGTATTTTTTTAGATAAGAAGTATTAGTTGCATTGACATTGCAGAACAAAGCCTAATTGCATTAGAAATGATATCAAGAAGAAATGGAAAACATATTCTTATTAATGTAAGTAACTTAAAAGTCTATAGAATTTCTCTGATGTTTCTTCATTCTTTTAGAATGGTATTGGTGCTTGTTTACAACATATTGAATTTTTTTCAATGACATCTCAAAATAAAGCATTGATTATAGTTGCCAATTGTTGTTATCATATTATTACTCGTCAAGATTTTAATTATATTAAAGAACATTTGGAAAATTTATCAAATCGTTTACGCAGTGAAGATAAAAAATCAATTGAACATGTTTGTAATATTTTCTCACGTTTAGTAGAAAATTTTCATAAAGATCAAACAATATTACGTGAAATTGCATCAACACAATTATTGAAGATGATGCAAACAATGTTAGTTTTACAACCACCTGTTCTAACTGGCTCAACATTCGTCAGTATTGTACATACTCTATATTTATTTTGTGCATTTTGTCCACTATTAGCTGTTACTCTATTGAAAATGAACATTGCTGAAACATTGATATGTTTATTAACGGGTACGGTTGAAACGACAACACTAAAAAAACCATTTACCTATAAATCATCATTACCATCTTCTCCAACTGATAGACCACTTTCACCACCTACAACAGCCATGTCATCGCTCCAACAACCAGTCGGCGTTGAATTAATTTCGCGTACACCTCAAGAGTTATATGAAATCGTCTCGTTAATTGGTGAAATGATGCCCAAATTGCCCGATGATGAACCATTATTTCAAGTTGACCAACTGTTGAAACGTGGTCTATTGCGCAGTGATCCATTAACAACGTTGAATGCACATGATCATGTTTTATGGCAGTGGCAAGATGATCGTGGTCAGTTACATCCGTATTCATTACAAGATTCCAGAATAATCGAACAATCATGGCAACAAGAAGAAGAAGAAGTTTCATTATCCACAATGGGTCGATCGTATACAATTGATTTTACTGTTATGCAACAAATTAATGAAGAAACAGGAACACAACGTTTTATACAGAGAAAAGTGAATTCCACTACAGCTCCGGTTGACTCGCCACGAACAGCTGATCTCCATACTGCTGAGTAAGTTGTGTTTAATAGTGTCGTTTCCTTATCAGTGAGATCATTTTCGGTTTACCTTTTTTCGAAGTCTGTCTCTATATTAAACAAAAAAATTAGTTCTCTAAAGAAATTTAAACGTTACTCTAATTTTAGACAGACGCAGCAACGAAATTTATCATCAGTAGACGAAACAGTGTCAGCCACAAACCGATCAGTGACAACAACAACAACTACTACTACAACAGTTGATTCTTCATTAACTGATGCTCGAACGGAAATGATGAAAGATAATATTGATTTGTACAGTCAGTTTATCCAATGTCTATTTACCATATTATATGAAGTGTACAGTTCGTCAGCTGGTCCAGCGGTTAAACATCGTTGTTTACAAGCATTATTAAGAATGATTTATTTTTCACCTAGCGATCTTTTGGAAGTTATACTTAAGCAGCAATCAATCTCGTCACATATAGCATCAATGTTAGCATCCACTGATTTAAAAATTGTTATTAGTGCATTGCAAATGGCTGAAATTCTCATGAAAAAATTGCCAAATATATTTTCCATTTATTTTCATCGTGAAGGTGTTGTTCATCAGATAGAAATATTAATTGATTTTGGTGTTGTTCCTACATCGCCGAATCAACTATCGTCGACTACAGTGAATAATAATGATGTAAATTCAACGGTATCAATACCACAAATTGAAACAACATTTTTATCAGCATTCAATAATCCAATACCAATCATACAAAGTTCAAATGCGGCGTCTATCGCTGCTGTACAATCAGTAAACGAAACATCTTCAGGTTCGTCTCCTTAGAAATCCCGTCTGACATGATATAAAATCTGCTGATCAGCACTCACTGAAGTACGATGCTCTAAGGTAATCTGAGCCTTGATCTTGAAACGTGTAACAGTAAACTTTTGATGATCAGTTTCAGATCATTTTTGTGATTGTTTAGTTGAACTTTCTTTGAGATACTTTTGAATGAAACTAAGGTTTCTGCTTCGGTCTAGTTGTTCTTAATCTTCAGTGTAGTAAAAAAATAGGACCATTTTAACAATTTTCATCCTGATTCCGTCTTCAGTCCAATTAACTTTTCGATTATTTGTCCTATGTTCCTTTTGTTAACTCTCATCCGTCAATATTTTTATCCTATATAGACCACCAACAGCAGTTACAATCGACTTCCGCTTACACTCAACAACAAAATCGTACAATGACGACATCACCATATCAGTCACAACATGGACGTCATCAAACATCGTCTTATCGTGGTTTCAGTCGCCGTGCATATAATCAACAACAACAAACAAATTCAGCTGCTGCCGAATTAACAGTAAATTCTTCCAATACAACATCATCTGAAACACAACCATCGACATCTCACAGACCAAATACGTAAGCGTGATCCCTAAGTTCTTCATGCTAATTAGCAATTGTCTAATTAACAGGTTAACAGACTTTACTAGCTCTAATCATAAAATTCGATAAAGAGGAAAATAAATTAGTTCATTTTTATTTCACTCCAGACTTCTTTCAATTCACATCACAATTTCTTTATGTTATTCAACACAGCTCTCATATTTTGCCTTTTTCTCATTTAGTCGTAATCGTGGACGTGGTCACTCACAACAACATGGCATCGGCAGTAGAACCATGAATTATAAAACACCGTCTCGTTCAACATTTGAAGACGCAACAACTTGTGATAGTCGAATACAAAAGCCGTCATCATCACGTCACACTACCGCTTCTTCGTCAACGGGTACATTAGACTTGGGTAGTAATCGATCTTACGGACGCAGTTATCCACGTCCAAGCTTACGCACGCCAACTACACTAAATACATCAACAGCACCTAGTTTAGCCAATTACGCTGTACCTCCAAATATTCAAACTATATCAAATAGCACAGATCCACAGATGCCACTTACATATTATTCTCCACCACCGCCTCGTTCAATTGTTCCCACTGTGACATCATTCCACGCGTCAACATCGTCTCAGTTGCCCGTATCTAGCAGTACTTTGTATGTTCCTCCTACATTATCATCTCAATATCTCCAACAACAATTTGGTTATGCTACCACTGTTTCAATGTCCGGTATCCATCAGCATCCAAATTATCATCATCCACCACCGAGTTCAGCTTTGTCAAATAATGAAAAGGCAAAATTGAAAGAATGGATTCAACAACAAGCAAAAACATTTCGTCAGACTTATTTTTCGTTTCATCAAACAAATGATTCAGCATTAACTGTGATTACACGTTTAGGACAAGCTGTCGATCAATTAAATGTTACACCATCAATGACTTTAAGTGATGAAAATATGTTAGCATTGAAAGAAATCTCATCTATAATAGCCAATGGTGATGTATCCCCATTTGAAATGGTTCATAGTGGATTAATCATAAAATTATTTCATTTTCTATTTGATAATACATCACAAACATACGACCGTCAACAACGTTTAAAACAATTTTTAAATATACTCTATGATTTACCATTAAATAATTCGTGTGATGACAGTTCAGAATCATTTTTAAAAACATTCATTATCGATTTATATCATACACAATCTAGTGTAAATAGTACTATTAGTCAACGTAAACATTCAATAAGAGGAGAACAACGAAGTAGTGGTGAACACAGTATTTTCTATCACTTAGTTAATAAATTACACGGATGTATTAATCAATTAGAACAATTTCCAATTAAAGTACATGATATTCCTGGTACAAGTACGATACGAAATCCAGCATTAAAATTTTTAACTAGTCATCAATTAAAATGTAATCTTGTTCGACATCCAGATTGTAAAACATTAAAACAATGGAATAGTGGACCAGTGAAAACTGATCCTCTTGCATTAGTATCAGCTATTGAAAAATATTTATTATTACGAGGAATAGCAAATGGAAATACAGTAAGTAAAATAAATATTTTCTGAGTATATAATTTTGTTTAAACAGGCAGTAGTACATTTTTATTATATATTTTTTTCCCACAAAGCCGTCTATGATCCTCAGCATGCGCGAAGCTTATTCTTGATTAAATGTCGTATGTCTCTTTGAAACTTAATGGGAGAATGTCGTACTTTCGTATTGTTTTATATATATCATTATAGAAATCACATTGTCTCCCATATTGTAAGCATCATCGATCACCACGTTCAGTTTTTATACTGAAAAGTGGGAAAAATGATTTTGCAACACGCAATCATGATCATTTCAGTGAGTAGTAGAGATAGTAGACTGTTGCGTAGAGTAAATTCGAAAAATGTGAATTTTTCGAATTTTTTCGAAGCCTGAAATGACATAAATCGCTGTTTGAACTCTAATAAAAAAAAGAAGCTTGATACTTTGAAGAGTATAGAAATATGCCAATTGTTTATACCAAACTATAGACCGAAATTTTTTTAGAATAATACGAGTGGAAATGTGGATGATGACGAAAGTGAAGTATCAAACGAATCCGATGCTGAAGATGTCATCAATGTGTTAACTCGTTCAACATCATTACGTTTAGAATTTTTGATTAATGACCGTATAATACCACATAATATGACAATTTATCAAGCAATCAAATTATACAGTATGACGCCAGATTCTGAAACAGAAACAGGTAAATTATTTAAGAAGGTTTGAATTGAGTTTGGAAAATTAGTGGATTAAGTCTCACTTGATTCGATTCTCTCAATCTGAACAAATTTGTTTCGCTATGTTTCAGATAGTGAATCCGTGCTAGCGAGTAATATTTGGTCAAAGGTTCATACAATTTCTTATCGTCAAGCGACTTCCTCTTCACGTTCAACAACTACCGTATCGAACACAATACCGATAACAACAGCCACTTCTATTTCTCCAGCATCGGCGATTTCCACCGCAACCGGTTCAGCTGCAACCGCCTTAACAACGTCTTCGTCAAAACGTGGTGGACAAGCAAAAGGAGGTTCATCCAAAAAGACCTCATCAAAAGCATCAACTACAAGTGGAGCACAGACATCAATCAGTTTATCTAAACGTAGTCCTGTTGATGAATTATGGTTAAATGGTCTATGTCCAGAATCAAAATCGTTGTTAATCTCAGCTGTAAACGAGTCAGTGCCAAGTACGTTAACAGTGAATGATTTATCACTAGATGCCATATTTTTATTACGTATTCTAAACGGTTTAAATCTATATTGGTATGACTTGTATTATGATACAGACACAATGTTGATTATGAACAACAATAATAATATAAATGCCTCGTCTTATGTAACACTTATTCAAAGATCAGAATTTTTATCAGTAAAATTAACATCAAAAGTTAATAGACAATTACAAGATCCACTAGTGATTATGACCGGAAATGTTCCCGCATGGGTAACAGAAATTGGTTATACTTGTCCGTTTCTGTTTCCATTTGAAACACGTCAGATGTTATTCTATGCCACAGCATTTGATCGTGATCGAGCGATGCAACGATTATTAGATAGTTCTGATATGATAAATCAACAAAATAATGATCAAAGTGAACGATCAGCCGTAGCACCAAGAATTGAGAGAAAAAAAGTAAATGCTTTTTAATTAGTTAAGCAAATGGAAGATGTCTAACGTTTATATTTTATAGGTTCAATTGTCGAGAGCAAATATTCTAGCTGAAACAGAAAAACTTCTTGAAAGTTGGAACAATAAAGCTTATCTTGAAGTTCAATATGAAGATGAAGTAAATTAAAGGACTTGATTAGTTTCTTTTGTGAATTATACTAGCTTTTCTTTAGGTCGGTTTTGGTCTTGGACCAACGCTAGAGTGTTATTCAATGGTTTCAAGAGAATTGCAAAAAAATGGTTTAGAATTATGGCGTTCAGATAAAGCATTTCAGTCAACACGTGGTGAGTAATTCTTTACGTTGCTGTTTGTTCGACTCATTCGCTTTATATTCAAGATACATTTACATCATCGTCACCGGGTCATGTCGATACAACAAACGGTTTGTATCCAGCACCAGTTGGTAGAAATGCTAAATCAACTTCAATAACAAAAGTTCGACAAAAATTTAAATTTTTGGGTAAATTTATGGCCAAAGCGTTAATGGATTCAAGAATGGTAAGAGTTTTATCGAACTTGAAAAATTTACCAGATTCGAAATAATTCTAACCTGAAATGATTTCAAAATTTTCACTACTCTGCATAATTCCTTAGTCGATGATAAAGTGCATGTAGCATCGTAAGACGTACTATTAACTTATTATGGATAACATATATGTGTCTCTTAACATATGATAAAAATAATCATTATTATTTATTACAGATTGATATGCCATTCAGTATTGTATTTTACAAATGGATGCTGGGCCAAGAAGATAGTTTAAATATTGAAGATTTAATTCATGTTGATACTAATTTACATCAACAATTTAAAAAATTACAAAATATTGTTCATCAGCGTGATAAACAACAACAAATGTCAAGAGGAAAGAAACGATTAAAATCCAATGATCTTTTACATAATAACAACAATATATCATCCAATTTTACTGATACCATCGCAGACAGTAGTAATGACAGTTTGAAATTAGATGGTTGTTCAATTGATGATTTAAATCTATGTTTTACACTACCCGGTTTTAATCTTATTGAATTGAAAAAAGGTGGTAAAGATTGTACTGTAAATATTAGTAATTTAGATCAATACATTAATGTAAGTAGAAAAAAAGGGCATAATGATATTTGTTCGTTAAAAATGTATTTTTTCTCTCTAGCTTGTTGTCTATTGGACATTAGTCGAAGGTGTTCGTCGACAATTTGAATCGTTTCGTGATGGTTTTAATTCTATATTTCCTATTTATCATTTAAAATGTTTTTATCCAGATGAAGTAGGTTCAATTCATTCACAATTGTTTTTAGTTAATCATTGTGTATTTCTTGTCCTTTAGCTTCATCAAGTATTTTGTGGTAGTGGTGCTACTGATCTATGGGATCTAAAGGTATTACTTGAATCAACACGTTGTGATCATGGTTATAATTTGAATAGTCGTGCTGTCAAATGGCTGTTTGAAATAATGATTGATTTTGACATTGACGAACGTCGTGCATTTTTACAATTTGTCACCGGTAGTCCACGATTACCTGTGGGTGGTTTTCGTACACTACATCCTCCATTAACTGTTGTTCGTAAAACAGTTGAAAATGATAATCCAGATAATTACCTGCCGAGTGTCATGACATGTGTTAATTATTTAAAATTACCCGATTATACATCGAAAGATATCATGAAAACAAAATTATTAACAGCCATACGCGATGGACAATTTGCATTTTTGTTATCGTAAATATATATAAACACGAAAATGGTATGAACATTTGTACAATTCAAGCGCTAAAACAAGTGTTCTTTATATGTGTGAAAGAGTGTGTATATTCACGAGTTTTTTTTTCTTCTTTGTGTATAAAACATGTATTTTTTGCACTTTCTTTACTTTTCATTTCATCTTTGTTGTTGTCTTGTTTTTATATTGTTGTTGCGTTTTCAAGAAGTATTTAAAAAGTCAGACTACAGAATATATATTTTAAAATAGAATTTTGTAATCAAAATCTAATTTGTCAGCTCTGTTCATAATATTAACTAAAATTGGGTAATGCTTAACAGGCAAAAATAACAAATATTTTAGAGGCTACACAAACTATTCAGTATTAGTTTTTCTACCTTGTGAAAACTAAAAATGGTGATACGCAATAACGTACGGTATCTTTCTCGCTTGTCTTCCTCATGTGTGTGTGTGTGTGTGTGTATTTTTTTACGTATATCTCTATATATATTTAAATGTATATCTCATGTGTTTTTGTTGTTATTGTAAGAGAAAAGATGCTTCTGTTTTGTCAATGAAGTTTTTTGTTGTTGCCATTCTTTGATCTTTTATTATTATTATTATTATTATGTTTCAACAAATATCATTATCTTTTCATGAGCTTTGCGACAAATACAATCGTTGTATTTTAAATAAATAAAACCGACCGTTAACATTTTTTTTACCAAAATTCTATTTTGTTTTCTACAAAAAAAGTATTCTTAAACTCAATTCGCGACAGACAAAATACTATTTTTGAATAGTTCTTGGTGCTTAAAATAACAACAACAAAGATTAGACTATCACTAACGGGTGTTTCAGAATAAATCGGTCACTTAGTATTTTGCTCATATCTTAATTGGATTTTATCCCCTAAACTTTGTTGTTTTTTTAAAAGATGTGTCGTAAAATTCTCTACAAAAAATATATTAAATATTTTTCTATATATCGTAAAGAGAAAAGAATATCGAAGAAATACTGCGAAGCTTCAATCTCGATTACTTTGCAACTCAAAAAACAATTTTTTCAATTTTAGTCCTTCATACTTTGTGAAACAAAAAACAAGAAGATGGCCATTTGATAGCC